CGTCGCACCCCACGTCGGTCCCGTGGTGACATGGCCATCGTTTTTTTTGGCGATGTTTGGGATCTCTAGGCGCGGAGGCCAGGATGAGCCAGGTGAGATTATCTTCGTGTGCAGTTGGGGTTCTTTCTTGCAGGAGCTGAAGATGATCTATCTTCATGTGAGCACCTGTCAACTCTAGCAATGGCAAAGTGCAAAAACAAAGCCAATCGAAGCAGATCGAAGCCGCTTTGTGACTTCTCAGAATGAACATCAGATGACCTATTTATCACCCACGTTTCAGTGGGCCCAGAATGCCCTCCAAGGCAAAATACGCAGTGTGCTGTGGACAGAAGTTGGAAAGGCCAGCCTGATAATTGGACTTAATCTTCTTCAAAGGCAACATGTTGTTGGCGGGTGTGTATATACATACAATATCATATGATTATATATATAGGTGTGTTCTTTTCCTTTCTCAGGAAAAAAACACAAAAACACTGGACTGTTCAAAGAGATTTGTGATATGTGTCATTCTTCCAAAACACCCAGTGAGCCACAGTGAATCGACCCAAAACGGCGCACGGCGCCGAAACGGCTCCGGGGCAGCTCCGGAACTCTTTTTCAGCGCTCTGTGAGGGGCCTGAGACCGGAGCCCCGTGCTGCCGAGGGGCCAAAATGGCGGGGTTGTGTGGTGACCCCCTGGAAAACTCCCATGGTGGTGTACTGTTTGAAAAGGGATCCAAAGACAGGTGGGGCTGTTGAAACCTGGAGTGAAGCTGTCACAGGCAGGTAGACTCAGGTAGACCTGTTGATGATTCAGTTGATGTCCAGTCTTGCGGCTGGGCAGGATCTCTGTCTAGTCTAAACGCAGCAAATATATACATGCGTATAAGTGGATGGATGGGAAACTTGCCGCACTAAGATGCTTCAATTGTCGATTCTGAAAGTGAGCGCCAGTTCAGAATGAAACATGAATTGTGGAACTGAAGCATTGAAGCGACCCAACGATGCACACGTCTTAAATTTTGTCGACAGTCGTCCGAATCACCGAGGAGTTGCACTCAGCAAAACAAGCAAAAAAACACACAGAGACACTCGTTTAACTACAAACTAGTAGCCCCATGCAATGCCAGAGGTCAATATGGCAAAATCACATGGAATCCCAAAGCTGCAGTCTTGTCAAGAAAAAACACAGGAGATTTTTTGTTGGAAGCATCCCTTACAGCAAACCAGGAAGCAATTGAACGTCAAGAAGAGTCTGCAAATCTATAATTATAGGTTCAAATGATCCAACATTGTCCGACAAACAATCTTAAATGGCGCTGAAGGCTTAAAGGCATGAAAAGCTTAAGACGCTTGAATAGCTTCCTGATGCCTCCAAAACTGTCAACGTAGTCCACTCCGAAAAACTCAAACACTGACCCCAACCACAGATTCGGTCCAATTCTATACACGCATGAAAAAGAATCATAAACAGAAATCAATCCCTATCGCCCCATCCATCCTCATGTGCTTCTTCGTCCCAGCGAGATCTTCCCTTTTCCGATCCCACCTGGGTCTTAAGGAGTCAATCCGCTCGCCACAGCGTGGGCAGGGCAACACCTGCGGTGGCCAAAAGCAAGTGGAATCTGCAGACTTGAAACATACCAGAACCAGGTGGTTATATATTGGATGTTTTTGGGTGGCCTCCGTGAGCTATACTACTATACCCTCACTCAGAGACCTCACCCGCGCCCGGCGTTATGAAACCCAGGACCTGCGACCGGTGGGAACACGCTGTCACATCTGAGGCTCCGGTCCAAAGATGGAGGCTCCCAGGCTACAGCGGCTACATAATGATCGAGCTTTCAAAAGCGCTTGGGTCGGCCCCACATGCTGGAGCCCTAGTAGCGTCCTTGCTCCTAGTAGTAAGGCCAGGAGCCCCTAGTAGCGTCCTTGGATGAACACAGGTCATGTCTCAGAACCCTTTCATCTTAGTTCTCCGGAGGGCTACAGTATACCTTTGGCATTCCTCTCTTCAACAAGTGAGCTACATGGCTTCCTAAGTGTCTGACCGTGCGAACCGAAAACATGCTTCGAACATCGCCTTCGAGTTCTCCATGAACTTGCTGGCCACACAGTAGTAGCAAAAGACCTCAGCCACTTCTAAGCGACACGACCGGCCTTTTCACTTCCCCAAAAGAGGTGGGCAAGCCATGGCTCGGCCCAATGAAAAAGTAACCTCTCCGACATGACGGAATCACAGGAATGAAGAGCTTCTTCCTGGGCATCAAATCACTTCATCACAGAATCGGTTGACACATGTTGAAAGTGAAAAATCTTGACGCATCATAAGCCTACCTTCATCTGGGCAAAAATAGATCGAATGTAGTTCTCTCCTCTCAATCTCCTAAGGGTCTAGCATGATTGCAGCTGGCTTGTGTGGGCAAGGTTGGCACCGAGCCACCTGGAATTTTTTGAGCAAGAAAAATTGGCTTTGGGGACCTATCCCTGAGCCGAAGAACGATCATATAATCTAGTCTAGCTTACCTATCCGTACTTCTCTTCCAGGCCAAACAGGTTTTTACAATGCCCACCACCTGCTGCATCTGCTACCGTGTCCATTTTGCTTTGCTGCCCCAACCAAACTCGCCAGGGCGACAGAAGCCACAGCTCGACCCCCCGGCCACCGGCCAAGCCTAGAGCGGCTGCTCACGTCGACAGAGAAACAATGTGACATGTCATTAAGATTCGCAGCAGCGATATTTTTCGCTATTGTGGAGAAGCCTGAGAAGACCAGCAAATGGGGCCCTTCCGAAGAGCCTCTCCAAACCCAGGCAAAACGCAAGAAAAATACCATACAGTAGCCACAGCCTGTAAGACCAACCAATTCAAGGCATTGGCAGGCATGTTCAAACACGGCATGGTCGAAGGAATGCCACGAACCCTGCATGGTCATTCAGGGACATCAAAAGCAACGACTCCTCCCCAAACTTCCGGGCGACAGGGATGACAGGGTGTGTTCTGAGTCTAGACGGCCCAAAAAAGAATTGGCAAACGGACCATACCGGTGTTCAGTTCGTGGAAAGATGACTCCCCAGGGCTCGACTGCGACCCGCAGGTGCGATCCCGCGGGCTTTGAGCTTTGGCCAGGCACTATCAAATCTATCAATTGTACTTTCTCTTATGAAAAGAGCATGGAAACCTCAAAGACCCATTTCACCAAAGGCCTCAACTCCCTGAGTCAGTGTAGAAATATGTAGACATTATGTCCTCAAGTCGCACCCTGCCTTCCCGCCCATCCCAGCCATCCCAGGCCTTTGGAAGAAAGCGCCTGAAAGCATGTTTCGTTCCAAGAAAGTTATCATTCTAAGTTGACATCAAGAAAAGCATACAAGGTAGGTTGTATCGGCCGCAAAAGCAGCACCATGCGACCTTCCATGGGCATCCTTTGGCGAAGGATTCTCGGATGTGACCAACTAGTATAATACTCTGAATGCATTATACTAGCTGTGTATGTTGCCACGACAGAAAATGTGGACCGTGACGCTCCTGTGCAAGGGGGACATGTCGCGGCATCTCCTCAGCATTTCATTGACCGATTAAGGGTGTTATTTGTCTAAGGCTCAAGGGTGGGCCTAGAATCTTATGTGCTCTCGCATCTCGGCCCGCCCTTTTGTTTCTTGAAGGTCTGAGTATCCCTTGTTCATTCTTGAGACTGTTCACCTAAGACATCCCATATGTTGGGGCCAAGCTAAACCTTTGATCTGTCAATCCTCATGTTGCGTTTGAAAGTATATAGAGTCACCTCTCACCTTTGACATAAACAAAACAAATTGCAAACAGGGTTGTTCATGAAAGTACTTGAGGGACCATGAGGATATAATATGCCGGCTGACGGGGAGAAAAGCTTCTTTGGGGGGCCCATCCGTTATCAGCACTGTTGGACAAAAATAGGACCATGCACCTAGAAGTAAGAATGCTTCCCCGCATTCCCTTCGTGAATTTCGCTGTGCCCGTGTCCGAACCCCTTGTTTGAACACAGATCTCGGCCTAACAGATCGGCGCAAGCGAGAGAGGTTCATCAAGGGTAGGACCTGTCACGTGCGAATGGTCTTGCCGGTTGGGAGGACCCCATCAGGGTGGGGCTGAAGCAGAAATCTGTTTTGCTGCCTGGGAATGGAAGCTTCGACCACGACCTTTTCCGTAGCTGAACGTCATGTGGCCGAACAAAGCCACACTCAAAACAGCAGAGAGCCAGTTGCTTCCTGCTCTCCACATGGAACAGCGCCACTTGGCCAGGGCTAGCCTGGAAGCGCGCAGCATTCGAAACAAAAGACTAAAGTCAATTTGAAGCTTTTTGAGTAGTAGCGGACTTGTTGAACTCCTCCAACTGCTTCATCTGGGCGGCAACCCTCTCCTCTTTTGTGGGCGCTTTTTGAAGCTTCGCCCGAGTCATGTCCACCTCCTTGGCTGCTTTCGGGAACTGTGCTGCTTCAATGCGAGAGCGCGTCACGTAGTCAATTTCACC